ATTGGTGACCCCTCGATCAGAACACATAATTGTACGAGAAACGGTACGAGCAACAGTACAAGATACCCATCGGATTTCGGCGTAGAAGATAGAAATAAGAATCTCATCAGGTCCAGGTGATCAAGTCAGAAAATCAGATAGAACAACCACATCAGCAACATCTCTACGAGATATACTTCAAGGTTTTTGTTTTTTTGCCTGCTATACCGCAGGTCAAGGGCGAAATATTGCAAGAGGTGAGTTTTGAGTTACTACTTAATGTTTTGAAGTTGCCATTTGTGTTTGACAATAAAATGCCGAATAACGAAACAGAGTCAGAGACTGGTTGTGTCGAAAATTTAAATCACATTAAATTACCTCCTTTCTGGTCATCAAAACCTTTATTATGGTTCAAACAAATTGAAAGCCAATTTTTTATTCATAAAATTAATTCATATAAAAGTAAATATCATCTCACTGTAGCAAACTTACCGATAGATATTTTTAGTGAAGTTATAGATGTAATTAATAATCCACCAAATTCAAACATGTATGAATCCCTAAAAGGAATAATAATTAACCGATTGACTTTATCAGAAGAGGCTCGTTTAGATAAGTTAATTTCTAGATCAGAACTAGGAGATAAACGTCCATCAAATTTCTTTAGAGAATTATTACAAATCTCTGGAGACAAAATTATTGATGAGAAATTACTAATTAAATTATGGCGGAGACGTTTACCTGCAGTTATTGATATAGCTTTAACAGCATCTGGGAAAGACGACGTGACTGAATTATTGAAACTTTCAGATAAAATTTGGGAATCTCAAAATTCAAAAATGAATATAAACGAAATTCAAGGTCCAAGTACACAAACTGACAATACATTTTTAGTTAAATTTATGACAGATTTCAACAATTCTTGTCAAACTTTATTAAAAACAATCCTTGACAAACAAATTAAATTAGAAAACGAGGTAAGCTCAATTAAACAAGAAAACTTGTCTTCTCACAGACGAAATGATAATCAGTGTCATTCTTGTCGTCACAGATCAAAAAGTAGGAACAGATATAATAACGATTCTGACAAATTATTATGCTCATATCATAAACGTTTTAAATTGAAAGCATTTAAATGTAATGGTCCACCTTGTTTATTATATGATTCATTTAAAAATAAATCAAAAAACGAATAAGATCAACTATGAACTGTTTGGGAGAAGGAAACATATCTTCAAAAAGACTTTTTGTTTTTGACAAAATCAATAATTTAAATTTTTTAATTGATAGTGGAGCAGAAGTCAGTGTTTTACCAAAAAATATTTTCAAAGGTAATGATAAAGATAACAATTTTTTATTAACGTCAGCATCAGGCAATAAAATTTCTACTTTTGGGAAAAAACTATTAAAAATAGATTTAGGTTTACGTAGAGAATTTCTTTTCGTTTTTATTATTGCTGATATTTGCAAACCAATATTAGGTGCTGATTTTCTAACACATTTTGGATTGCTAGTTGATTTAAAAAATAAGAGAATTTTAGATAACGAAACTTCACTAAGCTCAAAAGGTAAAATTATGAATATAGACAAAGTAGATTTTCCCAAACTTTTTATAGTTGAAAATAAATATACGGAAATTTTTAAAAAATACACTAATATATTTTCATCACCTAATTTTCATTTACCAATTAAACATAACATAGAACATCATATTATTACAGATGGACATTTACCTTACTGTAGACCAAGACGTCTAGATACACAAAAATTTAATATTGCCAAAAAAGAATTTGATAATATGATAGAATTAGGTATATGCCGTCCTTCTTCGTCATGTGTGACATCACCGTTACACATGGTGCCTAAGAAAGATACAGCCGATTGGCGTCCTTGTGGCGATTATCGTTTCTTAAACAAATTAACAATCCCTGAAAGATACCCATTATCGTTAATATCCGATGTTAACATTAAAATCCATGGATGCACCATTTTTTCTAAAATAGATTTAGTGAGAGCATATCATCAAATTCCTGTCGCAAAAGAAGACATTTTTAAGACCGCCATTACTACTCCATTTGGAGCTTTTGAATTTTTAAGAATGCCTTTTGGATTAAGAAACGCAGGAAATACGTTTCAGAGATTTATCAATGAAGTAACTAGAGGTCTTGATTTTATTTACGTTTATTTAGATGACATTTTGATATTTAGTAAAAACGAAGAAGATCATTTTAAACAGCTGGACATTCTGTTTAATAGGTTAGATTCTTTTGGCGTAAATGTCAATCCTTCAAAATGCATGTTTGGCGTCAAAGAAATTAATTTTTTGGGTTACAATATCTCTGCTAAAGGAATGTTACCTACAGAAGAAAAAGTTAAAGCAATAAAAGATTATAAAAAACCAGCTACTCTTAAACAATTACAACGATTTATAGGTATGATAAATTTTTACCATAAATTTGTTCCTAAATTTGCTCAAATTATTTGCCCATTGCATGAATTTGTTGCTTATCTTAATAAAAATAAATTCAAAAATATAGAAAATTGGCCTGAGGAATACGAAAGAAGTTTTAATGAAGCCAAAGACGCGCTTATTAAAGCCTCTTTACTCGTACATCCACAAGAAGGTGCCGAACTATCGTTAACCACTGATGCCAGCAATTCATGCATAGGTGGTGTATTAGAACAAACTATAAATAATGTTAGGCAACCATTAGCTTATTTCTCTAAAAAACTTTCAAAATCACAAATCAATTATAGTGTATTCGATAAAGAACTATATGCGATTTACATGTCAATTAAACATTTTAGACATATGCTTGAAGCAATGGATTTCAAAGTTTTTACCGATCATAAACCAATTGAAAGAGCAATCCATTCAAAATCAGAAAAATCACCACGACAATTTCGTTATATCGAATATATTTTACAGTTCACTAACAAAATAATTTATGTTGGTAGCAAAAATGTAAGAGTGGCCGATTTTTTAAGTCGTATTGAAGAAGACGAAATCATAAATATCAATGCTAAAAAAGACGGAATTAAAGGCAATGATATTGCAAATTTTAATTTACATAAAATTATTTCAGAACAGAAAATAGACATAGAATTAGAGTTCTTATTAAAAAAACAGAATTCAAGTAATAAAAAAGGAAGAAAATTTTTCTTAAGCAATGTAGAGGTTGAAACCCCAAAATTGAATCTTTGGTGCGAAACTTCAAAGGAAAAGAGCAGACCATACATTCCTAAGAGTTTACGTTATAGTATTTTTTTAAAGTTACATAACATAGCTCATACTGGATGTAAGGCCACTGTTAAATTAATAAATTCTAGGTATTTTTGGCCAAGGATGAATAAAGAAATTTATTCATGGTCAAAATGTTGTATTAATTGTCAAAAGGCGAAAGTGCTTAGACACACAAAATCACCTCTAGGAAATTTTAAAATTCCAGAAGGAAGATTCCAACATATCCACGTAGACTTAGTGGGTCCTTTGAAACCTTCAAGAGGTCATAATTATTTATTTACTGTTATTGATAGATGTACTAGATGGGTAGAAGTTTATCCACTTAAGAACATCAGTTCAGAATCAGTAATCAAAGTTTTATTTAATCAGTATATAACACGCTTTGGTGTACCAGTGTATATTACTCATGACCAAGGCAGTCAATTTGAATCTAGTATGTTCAAAGATTTTAGTAAAAGGTTAGGATTTCAAAGTATCCATACAACTACTTACCATCCTCAAGCCAATGGGATGATAGAACGTTTTCATAGAACACTAAAGGCATCGTTATCTGCAAAATTAATTTCGAATAATTGGTATGATGAATTACCTTTAATATTATTAGGGCTAAGATCTGCTATAAAAGAGGACTTACAATGTTCTTCTGCAGAATTGGTATACGGCCAAACTTTACGTTTGCCTGGTGAATTTTTCACGTCTTCAAATGAAGAGATAGATACTCATTCAATATTAATTAATTTGAGAGAAAATTTCAACAAATTAAGACCAGCTCCAGTTCAGGAACACGGTATAAGGAAAACATTTGTTTCTCCAGAATTAGAAAACGCAGAATACGTTTTCTTAAAAGTTCAAGGCATTAAAGCCGCTTTAAAACCTTGCTACGAAGGTCCTTTTAAAGTTATTCGTAGATCTGATAAACTTTTTACAATTTTAAAAAATAATAACGAATTAGTTATCAATATTGATCAGTTAAAACCTGCATTTTTATTATCGGATAATAATGAATCTATAAAAGAAGTTAAGAAAGTTACATTTGCATTAAATTAAATAGTTCATTATTTTTAGTTGTTTCATAATTTATATGTTATTTTTTTTAAGAGGGGAAGTATTGTAGTGCTTCGTACTACATATTACTCTTCTCTCTGTCATAATTACGTTGATAGATAAATGTTATAACCTTAAACCAGTCATCTCCACTTTGTCATTTCGACGTTTTATTTTTGTTATGTGAATGGCACTTTAGAATGTTTCGTGGTGGCATGAGACTCAATCCTGTTTCCTGCCAATGTCATAGAATTTCAAAGTTGATGACATTGGAAGTCACATCTGTTTTTGATTTGTGGTGTAGTAGGTGGAAAAACAATGGAGTGTGTGGTGGATAGCTGTGGAAGAAAAAAAAGAAAGAACAGAACACCAAGAGACAAGAAACATCAACAAATTATTATTTTTTTATTTTTTACATTTTTTCGAAGTAACATGTTCTTGACCTTTTTAATAAAAGAATTTTAAAAAAGAAATTTTAATTATATAGTTATTTTGATACAGAGAATACCTATAATACCATCAACTTATTTTCATATTTATTACCAAATATTTTTGTTACATTTACAAAAGTGTAATAATTATTTAACAAATTTTTTTGTGAAAAATACAATAATAAAAATTGTTTGGCAAACAAAAATATTTGTAAAGAGAACAAATATTTTTATAAGAGACACAGAATTATTTTTCATTCAAATAACAAAAAGTGTTTTGTTGTTTTAACAAAATCTTGTGTCGGTTGTATAGCAACAGAACATTTGTTATTTCAACAGCTAGTTTTTGTTAATATAACAGAATTTTTTTTCAGTGCTGTTATGCACATTCTCTTAATTTAGCTGTACAGGATAATCTAAAATAAGATTGTCTGCATAATATTTCGAAGAGATGCAAAGAAATCGTGATTTTTGTAAAACAAAGTAATGTAGCTTCTGATATGTTTAAATACTTTCAAATAAAAGATTTTGAAACAGATATCAGAAGTGATACGGAAAAGAGAACTCCCTATAAACTTATACAAGAAGTACCAACCCGTTGGAATAATTTTCTGTATATGATTACAAGGATCCTCGAAACAAGTAGTGCTCTCAATCAAACTATTTTAAAAATGAGTAAAGCTCCTTCTCCTTTAACAAATGATGTACTAACAATTTTAAAGCTAAAGAAGACTTTGGTTTGTATTAGTGAAGCTACAGATAGGATTCAGGGCACAAACTATGTCACAGTTTCATTGATTTATTCTAATGACTTTCGGAATTTACAACAATTTGTTAAAAACCAGTACCATTTTAATTACAAATGAGGGAAAATTATTTGGTAATAGTTTGATCGAGTCTGTTAAAAAAAGAGTTTTTGTTTATGAAACAAGATCTGTGACCAGAATCTCCATATTTTGGATCCAAGATTTAAGAAAGAGGGTTTTCGTAATCAAGAAAATGCAACCCAAGCAGCGAAATTTTTGGAACAAGAAATGAATTGTATTTGGAGGTCCGTAATAGATAAAGAAAATGATTTACCTCAAAATTATCAAATTGCTAGAAAGGCCACAACTTCACTATTTTTATTTACGGAAGAGCGGATTAACGAAAAGTCCAAAAGTGTAGCTGCTGATGTAATTATCAGAAAAAGGCAATATTTGGAAATATCTAATGCTTCGGAGCAAACAGACCCTCTGTAACGTGATACTTGATATTTTATCTATTTGTTATAATGTGTTTAAGCTCAATTGATTGGGCGTGGATTAGGTTATTAAATAACTCGAATAACTTTGAAAAAGAAGTTGGGCACCACTATATTTAAAACTTACTATACTTGACTTTATATTAGTGATAAAAAAAAATATATATATATATATATATATCACTAACCACTAACAAATTATATTTAAACCGTGCTTTAGATAAGCTAGTAGCAAATTCTAATTCACATAGTTTTACTAAATTCAAATTTAAGACGATTTATTTAAAAGCACTTATCTTTAGTTAAAAGAAGGTGATATAAGGAATGTTTATTGCATGGTATATCTTCAGGCAACTTCTTCAAAAGGGATTCGGTACCCTTATTCGTAATTCTGCAACTTGAATGATCTCGTGATATTTGGTATTCTAACTTAACTCGAACCTGTATAGATCTTCTAGAGATGAATCAAACCACGGTCTTCAGTTTGTACCAAAACCAAAACAAACTTCTAGGTACAAAAACCATAAAACTTCTTGAAAGGAATTCAAAACTTTGATAGGAATTCAGAACTTCTAGATATAAATCCAAATAGACCGTCTAGATATAGCCATGCTAAAAAGAAAGGGTTAAAATGTTAAGACAGGAAATAGGAATTTTGAGCAGGATTTAGATAAAATGCTATAATTATTAAAAGAACAATTTAAAACTATTAAATGAATAATTTCACAGAGACTAAAATTAATATGAAAAGGAAAAATCTTATTTAACATATTTTAATATAGTAAAGCATAATATCTTATTCCAAAAAAATTATATATAAATTAATATAAAACGAACATGTGTTATCCATTGTTGACATTGCTGATATTGAGGTTATGTTCAATACTTGACAATCTATTTAAGAAGTCTTTGTACAAAATATATATTTTCAACAATATATTAGTATTAAAACTTACCTTATAAAATCAGACGGAATTTACGATAAATTAAAATCAATTAGAACATCGCATGACCAAGATATATTAAAATTCAAATCAACTTGATTCGTTGACATCCAAGTCAAAAATAATTCTCACAGTCACAAGGCGAATAAAGGAAGAAGACGACAAATGACATTTAAGAGATGGTTGTGTCGGAATAATAGTTCCAACCGTTACACCCCTTATTTTTTTGCAGGTATAATAAACTTAATCCTTGCATATCATATATTTTTATTTTAGTTAAAATGTTTCGCAGAGCCACGGAAAACAATGCTACTTTTCTATAATATTTCAGATGTTTGTTGTTCGTAGGTAAATGGTAATAATTTGCATCCTCTACCTATTTTAAGCTTAAAATATTTGTGTATACCGGGGTCATCTGCAGAATCTGAGCGAAATTTTAGTATGGCTGGTCAGTTAATCTCCGACCGAAGATCAAGATTAAAACCGAAAAATGTGGATATTTTATTATTTTTACAAATATACAAAACACATTGGTCACGATAAATCCTCTAACCCTACAGTTAGACGAACGCACCTCGTACAACGATACCATTAGCTGGGGTTATTTTCAAACTCGAGAGAAAGGAGTGCTCTATTGAGAGAAAGGAGTGCTCTATCGAGAGAAAGGAGTATGTAAATCCATATGATGAATTCTCCTTAACCCGTATTTTCAAACAACCAATAGAATAGGGTGTTGCCAAACTGCATTAGAACGCATGAACTACACTAATGTATGTTAGGCAACAAATTCTTTAAAAGAAAAGAAGATTTAAACTACTTTTGTTAACAATTGAGACTGATCCTAATATGAAAATGAAGAGCACATACCTTTTATTTTTTTAAAGCAAGTTGAGTTCGAGTTTGATAGTTTTTATTTATTATAATAGTTTAGGACAAATTAACAATGGATCAAAAACAACACATAATTCACGAGCAAAAAGAAGTAATGCTTGAATTTTTAAAAAAGCATCCAGAGGTAAACAAAATTAACGAATAAATTTACGTTCAAGATGACTCAATGTTTGTGGGAACAATTAACATTAATATTAAATAGTGTAGATGACGGAGCTAGAAAGAATTGTAAGCAATGGAGAAAGGTAAGTTTATTATAATTTAAACACACATGTCGGCAAATAGGTGTAAATTGACAAACATTTTGGGGTTGATATTCATCTTTAAGGTTCAACCCTGATTTATGCAAAACTGTCCATCCCAAATATAAATGAATTGCACCTAATGGCAAGTCCAATCAGGAAGACAGTTTATTTACCATTACTAATTATGCTTAATATGATGTATTATAATAACTTAGCTAAATAGCAGATATATGCACTATGAAGACTAGTCTTCATAATATGCATACATACAAATGTCATTCAGAAACAGTTTTTATTTGTATAATTGCTTACATATTTATGTTTTTAGACATGGCAGGATATGAAGAAAAATGTAAAGTCGAAAATAACTAAACTTCGAATCCACTCAAGTGCCACTGGTGGAGGGGGACCGAGTGCAATTAAATTTGATGAAACAGACAGTGAAATTTTAAGATTCATGTCGGAAAGTGTTATATATGGACAAAGTGACATCGAGGAATCCAATGCAACTTTTGATTTTAATGATATACCAACAAAAAATAATTGTGAAGTAGAGGAATAAGAAATTGAAGGAGTTGGGGAGCCCCGTAACCCTACTCACACACACTCTAGAAGCTGCGAGAAGAGAGGTAGAAGTAAGTAAACAATATTAATAGTTTCAATAAGGATAATTTTCTGAATGTAGTAGAATTTTAGATAAATAAAAAGTTAACTGGTTTATTCGGTTGTTTTTATAAAAAAATCTATTTTGAATACACCTTCACACGCTGTAAAACAAAAAGACGGGGTTTCTGTTATTTTAAAATGTTTATAATCGTCCCCATTTTTTATTAAATATTGACTGAAACTAGAAGATGGAACTGTGTCTGAAACATAATGTAGTGTCTCTACTAAAATTTTATAAAAACAATAAAAATGACCTAATAAAATAGTGATCTTTTTATTTATATAAAATATTAATAGTGTTTTTAAAAATCATTGTTTTGTCCACATTAGCCATTTTTGTCATGGATATTTTGCCCCCATTACTTGCAAAATTATTCTAATTTGTTCTATTTAGAGAATTAATTGTTATTTCTTTTGTGTTGAATTACCCTCGGTTGACCACACATACAGTTTAGACTACCCACTCAGGCAAACAAAAAAAACCAATTAAATTTACAAGAACCAGAAGGCTGGAAAATTCTCTAAAACTATCTCAAAATTTATCCAAATCTGTAGAGAAAAGAAACTATGTTCTAGAGAACTATTATGACGAAAAAACATCTTATTTAAAACATAAAAAACGCATAGATGAGGAAGAATTAAAATTAAAAAAAGACCAATTAAATGTTAAAAAGGAAGAAGTTGCAGTTCAAAGGGAAATTTTAACAACTTTAACAACATTGAACAGCATTTTTTAAATTAAACATTTATTTGTAATAATTAATTGTAACATTTTGGCAATTATTTATAACTATTCCCTTACTCGGTGAATGGTGGGATGACGTAAACTGTACGGTGTGTTCTTCAACATTTTAGCAATTATTTTTAACCATTCCCTTACGCGGTGAATGCTGGGATGACGTAAACTGTACGGTGTGTTCTTCTTGGACATTGGTATTTTCAGTATATGTAAAGGTTTGTAGATTATTTTCAATTGAATTTATAATTCTATTGGCTGTTGACGCTACATAGAAAAAATGAAATTCTTACAGAAAAAATATGTATTTTCTTAAAGTAATTTTCTTTAAATAAATACATCATTTCTTAATTAAAGATATTATTCTTACTTTTAGTGTAGACATAATTATCCTCAAGACAAATTTTTGAATAAAGCAAATTACTTTTAATTCAAAACACGGCAATCTTTAAATAAAAAAAATCACATATAATTAACGGTTTCATATTCTAATAAGTACTTTTTCTTAAAATAAATCAATTTATTTTCATTTTACTTTAACGAAGACAGACAACGGAAAATTATTTCATTCAAGACAACAAAACGAAATATTCTTGAACCGAGACTAGTCCAGACTTGCAATTGACTGGCCGCTTAAAAACTGTGAATCCCTTAGGGCCGGTTATTCAATCGTGAGTTAACTCCTGAATTAATAAATCCATGGATTTGAGTTAATCTTAGATTAAAATGAATTGTGTTGTTCAAATGAAAAAAGAAGATGGATTAAGATATCCCAGATTAACTTGTATTTGAAGATGTTGCCTACACTGTTTATGCCATAGAACATCTATTTTACAATTAATAATAGTTGGCAACAGGTGTTTTGTATATTAGCAACAATTTTGCAACCAAATTGTTTATTGTTTTATTTTTATTGGTTAAAGGTTATAGCGTATACAAAAGACACTCGAGTCTGTTGTTTAATTATTATCGTGCTTTTGTGTTAATATTGTTATTATTATTACTTTTATTGAACATTTATTTAATCCAAATGGACCAGTCAAAAAGAGCCGCTAATTTCAGCGAGTTGGAAGAAGAAACCTTAATTTCATTGGTTAATCACCATAAACATGTTATTGAAAATAAAAAAAGTGATGCTGTGACCAATAACGAAAAAAATCGAAGTTGGTTACGGATCGGTGAAGAATTTAGTAATGTTACTGGCAACAAAAAATCTGTTGAAAGTCTGAAAACAAAATATAAAAATTTGAAAAAAACTATAAAAAAAAGAAGGATATTAAGGATGTAATTAATATGCCATCAACATCCACATCCGATGAAATAAATATTCAATATGGTAAGTAAAACAAATATTGGCAGAAGACAAGCTCATTGTCAAGAAAATAAAGATTTTTAATGTGAAATATTTTTTAGATAACAATGTTAGTAGTTATAATTGGATTGATGTGGGCAATATTGAATATGTTCAAGAGATGGATGAAGAAAAAGACGAAAAAGACTCAGACAAAGAAGAAGCAGAGTCACGTGAAAACACACAGGAAAAAATAGGTATGATTGGACTTTTTCGTCCAAAACATAATGTTTATATCATTTTTTATTTACTAAATGTATTTCATTGTTTAATGCATAAAATAAATTTTTTCATATTCTTTTAATTCACATTTTTTTTTTTACTTTATTTGATTCAATGTAAAGGTCTTCAAAAATTTTACAGTGTCTTATTTTTTTAGAAGATAAATTTACGTTTAATAAACTAAGGCAGAAAAAAGCTAAACCACTGCAGTCTGAATCAAAACAAATACACGAGAAAGTTGAAATGTGGGCTACTGCAAAAACGGATGTTCTAACTATCCAAAAACAATTCCTGAAGGACGAACATTATGTGAAAATCGCATTAATGAAGGAGAAGCACGAACAGGAGTTGAGTTTAGCTCGTGAAGAATGGGAGCTCAAGAAACACTTCATGAAGGAAGAACACATTATGAAAATGAAGTGTCTTCAAAAACAACAACAATAAATTGTTTTTGGTTAAATGACTTTTTTTGTACATATTTATTTTATTAAAATAAAACTTATTTAACATAAAAAACAATCTCGCAAAATAATTATTTATCAATGCAGTCCTTTTAGCATTATCACGCAGCCGATGTATCAAATTATTGTCATCTTGAAATTCTGCAACATTAATTATATCATTTTCAATGACTTCTTCTAAATGCTGTTCAATATCTGGTTCTGGCGCATTAATACTTTTTGCAATATTATGCAAAACTGCAGGAGCAATAATAATAGCTTCAAGATTTTCTAATTTAACTCTTAGCCCCAAAGATAAAACAGGAAATCTTCGTTTCCATACACCAAACACTCTATGACATTTCTAGTCCGAATTTGGGATTCATTAAACAGGTTCTCTGCTGCAGTCCTTGTCTCGAGTAGAGGTGTTAAGTATTGTTTAATACCATATCCACTATCTCCAACCAAAAGAGAATCCCCATATACTCCATTTTCAAAATCTGCTCTTAGCCTCGAATTAATAATAAAGATTGTAGAGTCGTGGGAAGACCCTGGCCATCGACAAACAATATCTTTTATGTGCATATTGGCATTACTTACAACTTGTACATTCAATAAAAAATATCCCTTTCTATTCCTGTATCTCTCCCCAGCATCACCACCTGGTGATTGTATTTTAATATGTGTGCAGTCTATTGCACCTATGCATTGTGGGAATCTGGCAATTTGAGAAAACTTTTGTCTATGTTCTCTAATTTCAATTTCAGTAGAAGGCATTTTTATAAATTCTTGATAAAGGTTTGCAATGGCACAGGAGACTTTATGGATAATTCTGCATGCTGTAGATTTATCAATGCCTAGAAAATCTGCTACTACAAGCATCATACTTCCCGAAGCATAAAACCTTAAAGCAAGCAAAATCATTTTCTACAGGCGTTACTGCATGATTCCTAAAAAAATGCAAACTATCAGAAAACACATTTAATTTTTAATACCATGTGAACACTTGAAAATCAAGACAATCTTATGTAATTTATTCCCAAAACTTACTGATTGGTTGGACTAGAAATTTCTTCTCGAATTCTCTCAATTATTATTCTTACACCATCTTTTGGTAAACGAAACCTATTTAAAAATTCTTCATCAGTCCATTTCTGAAAATGATTTTCCCTTATGCGGAAAATGGGCGATTTTCGTCGACGAGCGAAAATATTGACAATTTCCATAAAGTCTTCATCCTCACTAATAATTTCCATGTTAAATATTTAAAAACAATCTACTAAATAGGACAAAATAAAAAATATATAGGTTAGAAATCAAGGATTATTAATAATAACCCGCCTAAATCGATGAGTTAAGGTTAATTCGGGATTAACACCGTAAATTATACTAATCCACTATTGAACAACTGAAATCTAAAATTAACTCTAGAGTTTTCCTAATCCTGAGTTAATCTAGGAATGAACAACCGGCCCTTAGAGTAAGCGGAATCATTCCGTTCTAGGAAACGCAGTCGCAGTACAACGACGTGTTTCCTGGTGAATAGATTGTTTTGTGGTTTAAGGTTATAACGCGATTGGTAAGTTTAACATTTTTGATAGGGCTTGATGGGAAAACGATGGCGGACGAAGTCGTAGAACTTCTCCAGTCTTGGAATATACCGGAAGAAGTAATAAACAACTTTTCAGGTAAGCGAATTAGTTGGATATTTGTTAAGTACATAGCATAATATAAAAATAAAATAAAATAAATACTTATGTAGCTTCGAAATATATACTTTTTCTTCATTTTTGTAGATATTTGTAGACATAATAGATCCGTGTGGTCAGGTAAATTAAAAACAAATAGTTACCTATGTACCGTAATATGGGGCGACTTTGAGTTTTGGAGGCGACTTTGATAGAAGCCCCCACCCAAAGATAAAACTGTTGTAGCTGGGCAGCTATTCACTTTTAAATTTATGTTTGACATTGCAATCGGCAGTTGCACTTGTAAACGAGCAGTGGTTAATGGGAGGTGATTATATTTAAAATACTCTATTAGAAAATTAATCGAAAATCAGACATCACCTTATTCTAGATTTTGCTAATCGGTATAATCGCCAAACGGTCTTAGGCAAATCAGCTATTCAGCCCATTTCGAGGACAAAAGGAAAAATAACCTACGACCCTCTCTTTGACTGAGCTGTGATATAATTAGTTATATAACCCTCAATTTATTGTTTTGCTCATTAGGTCCTAGCACAAGGATTGGGACACAAAACAGAAGTTGCTCAACGCCTAGCTAGTAACATAAACAAGAGCCGCGCTGCGGTTTCCAAGGAAACGTTAAAATTTATTTTGCGAACTTGCAGCAAACATTAGAGGGGGGTAACGCCTGAAAATACGTTTAATTATGATGAAACCAACGTCGGCGATGACCCGGGAAAGGCCCGGGCTATATATCGAAGGGGTACCAAACATCCAGAAAAAGTTTTAAATCATTCTAAAAGCAATACTACCATCATTGTTTGTGGATCTACGGATGGTACCCTATTGCCTCCTTATGTAATATATAAGAGTGAGCACTTATATAATACCTGGAAGAAAGGAGGCATTAAAGGTTACCCATGTGACAAGCCATGTCGTGTAACAGGATGCAGATTTAATAGGACATCCCATGGATGGATAGTCACAAACACATTCCAGGATTGGTTTGAAACTAGCTTCTTACCACATGCTCGAAAATTAGAGGGAAGAAAGGTACTAATTTGTTAGTTAGTTTTCGGGTTTGGCCGACGATATTGTATAAAAATATAGAAAATACCATCCCAAGCAACTCTTATTTGAAAATGTTCTTTAATCGTAAATAACAGATATATTCCATAATGGTGAAAAGCGATCCCCTATAAAGTACCCCCAGATGTTCCGACTACAATTAAAATCTTATCAGCTTACAGCAGAGGAGATTAAAGCTCAAGTTTTTCTCTTCGTCTGCTTTTGAGTTATCTTTAACACTTTAACTACTATGTGTACCAAATATTGTACACAACTAACTTTTATGAATAAACTTTGTGCCCGTATATGGTCACAAGTATTGGCTACGTTTAATCAGTTAGGCAGCAGTCTCACTTATCGTTCCTGACCGTTCGTGTAAATTTCAAACACAACTAGTTATACGCGGGTGGTCTCACTTCAAGCGATGTCAAGCGATGAAAAACGTCATTTACCGTCGTCACGTTTGAAATTTCAAACATGTTTAAAATTTTGACGATGCACGATGGCAAATGAACGCGTTTGTGTTTGCGCACATGCGCACTAAAGAGAAACAAGTGGTGTGTCGTTTTTGAGGTTAACGTTTTGTTTATATTTTGATATACAATTTAAATTGGCTGAAATCTTTGATATTTAACTTGCTCCATGTCTTGATAATGGCAAATATAAAATGGTCAAGCGAAGAAATTTACCAGTTAATTGTACTTGTACAAGAAAGACCAGAGATATATGACCAATCGCGCCCAGGGCATTGCAATATAAATGTTATTGATAAACATTGGCGAGAAATTGGAGAATATTTTGTAGATAAAAATGGTGAGTATATAATTATTACAATATAAATATTGTTAAGCGTCGAAAGTACTTTGTCATAGTGCAATATTTGATGAAGAGTTTATTAAAATATAACAGTAAACCTTTTTTATTGTTTCTTATATTTTTAACCAGTCATGTTCCAAACTGAAATCAAACATTGCACATTCTAAAACACCTTTAGCTTTGTAAATGTAATAATGTGGGATCCGTTTGAATGAAATTGAAAGAACTAGTTGCTCAAAAATATACTAAATGTTGGATCCACGTAAAAATATTTTTTAATTCTGTATGTATTGTAATTACAGTAAGGCAACTTAAGGGAAAGTGGCAAACATTGCGAGGGACATATAGGCAAAGAAGGAAGGACTACCATTTACCATCTGATTCAGCGGCTTCTCAAAGGCGGTGGGTCTATTTTGAAAGTCTAACTTTTTTAGAGCCATTTCTAGCCCAAAGGAAAACAAGTAGTAATGCTCCAACTATGGCTATTCACACCGAGGTACATGTCTCAGACAATGAAGAGAACATAATTTTAGAAGTAGAGGGAGAATTACAGGAATCCCAATATGAGATAGAGGAATCCCAATATGAGATAGAGAATTCCCATAGTGAGAACGCATTGGAGAATTGTGATATGCAAGATGAGATTGTGAGGTCGCAAACTTCCACACGCACACCAAGCCGTGCATCCAGGTCAGGTTCAACAAATAGTGCCAAAAGAAAAAAAGAAAGTTCCCAGGACCTGGAAGAAACGATGAAAGTTTATTTTAAAAGTAAATTCGAAAAACAAAATGGCCAGAAAATTCCTTCAGTTCGCTTATTCCATGAAAGTTTGGAAGAAGACCTGGCGAAATTTTCAGAACCACAGTTGAGGCGGTATAAGCTAAAAGTTTTAACCATAATTAATGGAATTTTAGAAAATGAAAGTGCATAAATAAATCTTTACTTTTAATGTTTGTTTTTATTTAGTTAACTTCAAACAATTGGCATAATATCATCCAAGTCAAATAATTTGAATTTTTCTATCGACTTTTGAACATTGTTGTGATATACTTTCGTTAGGCTATACCCAAAGTTGATGTGTACTTATACAGTATGTCTCTCTAAGTGGAACCATATGGAAAACTTTTTTGTTATTAATTTAGGGAAACCAATATTTTTCATATAAAAAGTTCTGCGTGGTCTAAAAACTAAAATGCAAATGTCAGATATCGATTTTTTTTGTCATATACGAGGTTTGTCAAAAAATATGAATTTTTCTCCAGAGAAGTACCTTTATTTTCGACAGTGTCAAAAATTGTTATAGGTATAAGGTCCTTTACTCTTGAGCAAAATCCATGTTCTTTGACAAACTTCGTATACAACGGAAAAAATTTGATATCTGGTGGTAGAATTTTAGGTTTTAGACCATGCAGAACTATATATAAAGAATAAC